AAGTTCTCAGTTTTTCCCCATTGAGGATGATGCTTGCTGTAGGCTTGTGGTTGATGGCTTTAACTATTTCGAGGAAAATCCCTTCTATACCCATTTTGATGAAGGTTTTCATCATAAACGGGTGCTGGATCTTGTGAAATGCTTTCACTGCATCTATTGATATGATCATATGGTTTTTATCTTTTCTTTTGTTGATATGATGGATTATGTTGATTGATTTCTGAATGTTAAACCATCCTTGCATCCCCGGGATGAATACTACTTGGTCATGGTGTATGATCTTTTTGATGAGTTGTTGAATTCTATTTGCTAATATTTTGCTATTTGTTGAGAATCTTCACATCTGTGTTCATCAGGGATATCGGCCTGTAGTTTTCTTTTCTTGTGGTGTTTTTGTTTCCTTTTGGTAATAGAGAGATATGAGCTTCATAGAAACTGTTTGGGAGAGTTTCTGTTTCTTCAATTTCCTGGAAAAGCTTGAGAAGAACTGTCAATAGGTCCTCTTTAAATATTTGGAAAAATTTGCTAGTGAATCCATCTGGACCTGAGTTTTTGTTTTTGGGAAGACTTTAGATTGCAGTTTCAATTTACTTGATTATTCAGGTATTCTAGATCTTCTTGATTTAGCCTTGGGAGATTATAGGAATCCAGGAATTTATTCATTTCTTCTAAGTTCTCTTGTTTCGTGGCATACAGACTTTCAAAGTAGTCTCTGATGATCTTTTGTATTTCTTTGGTTTCTTTGGTGTTGTGCTATCCCCCTTCTCATTTCTGATTAGGTTTATTAGGGTTCTTTCTCTCTCTTTCTTTGTGAGTCTTGCTAGTGGTTTATCTATCTTGTTTATTTTCTCAAAGAGAAAAGAAACCAGCTCTTGGTTTCATTGATCTTTTGGATTGTTTTTTGGGTTTTCATGTCATTGATTTCTGCTCTAAGTTTTATGATCTCTTTCCTTCTGCCTGATTTGGGCTCCTTTTGTTGGTCCTTTTCTAAGATGTTGAGCTGTGACGTCAAGTTGTTTATGTGGGTCCTTTATTCCATCCTGAGAAATGCTTGCAGAGCTATAAATTTTCCCCTTAACATGGCTTTATCTGTGTCCCATAGGTTCTGGTAGCTCGTGTCTTCATTTTCATTTGTTTCCAGGTATCTTTTGATTTCTTCCTTGATGTCTTTCCTGACTCACTTGTTGAGTAGTTTAATTTACAGGTGTTTTATATGGTTTTCTGCATCTGTAAATGATTAATTTCTATCTTCAGCACATCATGGTCTGAGAAGATAGTTCATACAATGTCTATCTTCCTGATTCTGTTGAGGTATGTTTTGTGGCCCAGCACATGGTCTATTCTGGAAAATGTTCCATGTGCACTGGAAAAGAAAGTGTATTCTTTTTTTGGAAGGGTATAAAGTCCTGCATAGATCTATTAGCCCTCTGTCTTCTATTTCTTCCTTCAGAGCCATTATTTCCTTGCTGAGTTTTAATCTTCTTGAGCTATCTAGGGACTATAAGATGGTTTTGAAGTCTCCAACTACTATTGTGTTGCTTGTAATGTCCTTCTGAAGTTCTTTTAGCAGTTGTTGTAGGTATTTGGCTGGTCCCTCATTGGGTGCATATACGTTTAGGAGTGTGATTTTTTTCCTGCTATACATATCCCTTGATTAATAAAAAATGACCTTCACTGTCCCTTCTAATCTTTTTCAACCTGAAATCTATGTTGTCTGATACTAGTAAGGCCACTCCAGCTTTTTTGAGGGGGTTGTTTGCTTGCAGGGTTGTTTTCCATCCTTTGACTTTTATTTTTTTGCTTTTTTGGGTCACACGCAGCGATTCTCAGGAGTTACTCCTGGCTTTGCACTAAGTAATTACTCCTGGAGGTGCTTGGGGGACCATATGGGATACCGGGGATTGAATACGGGTCAGCCACGTGCAAGGCAAATGCCCTATCCACTGAACTATCGCTCCAGCCCCCCATCCTTTGACTTTGAGTCGTGTTTGTTCTGATTGTTCAGATGTGTTTCTTGTAGGCAGCAGAATGTTGGGTTCTGTCTCTGAATCCATTTTCCCACTCTGTGTCTCTTAATTGGTGAATTTAGACCATTGACGTTGAGAGAGATTATTGTCATGGTGTTTTGTGTCATCTTTCTGTAAGGGTTTGTTGTTCTTGTAGACGTTTGTCCTGTCTTACAGTAGCCCCTTTAGCCCTTCTTTTAGTTTTGGTTTTGAGTCTATGAAGTTCCTGAGCTGTTGTTTATCTAGAAAATAGTGTACCCTTCCTTTGAATTTGAGTGAGTTCAGCTGGATAAAGCATTCTTGGTGAAGCATTCATTTCAGTGAGTTTTTTTCACTATATCCCACTATTGCCTTCGGGCTTGGAGGGTTTCCTCTCATAGGTCTGCTGTGAATATAAGGAGTGCTCCTTTGTATGTGATTTCCTTCTTTGACCTTGCTGCTTGCAGTATTGTGTCTCTATCCGTGGCATCCATCATTCTAACTATGATATGTCTTGGAGTGTTTTTGTTAGGGTCTCTTTTAGCTTGCACCCTTCAGGTACCTTGAATCTGGATACCTGCATTGTACAGCTCTGGGAACTTTTCAGCAATGATTTGTTTAACCGTGGCTTTTTCATTGGGACTGTTTCCCTGACCTTCTGGTACTCCAATGATTCTAATGTTGTTCCTTTTGGAATCATCCCCTAGAATTCTGAGTCGCTCTAGAGCTATTTTGAGGTCTCTTGCCATTGTTTTTTTGTTGCCGGTAGGCTTCGTGCAGCTCATCTTCCAGCTCACTGATTCTGTCTTCAGCTATAGCCATTCTACTGTTGAGGGCACACACTGAATTTTTTATTTCATCTACCGAATCTTTTATCCGTAACATTTCTGTGTGTAGCTTTACAATTTCTGCTCTCATTTCTTCCTGTATTTTCTCTATTGTTTCTTTCATGTCTTCCTTTAATTTACTGGATATCTGTTTCACTGTTTCATTGAGTTCATTGAACATCTTCATCACTTCATATCTGAATTGTTTCTCAGAGAGCTCCCTTAAGTGAGTAACACCTACAGAGGATTCTGGACTCTTTTCATCATCCTCTCCTCGTGGTGGGGATTTGCATTGTTTCTTCATGTTAGTGTGATTGTATGGAGACTGAGATGTTACATGAGATTGTTGGGTATGAGTAATTTACCTGTGGCTGTGTGAGTGGCCGCTGGCCCAAAATTAGGCCATGCTCACTTCTGCAGAGGCCATGACCACTTCTGCAGAGGTCATGCCCCCTACAAGTACCTGGTGTGTGTGTGGTGGGGTACAACCCGGGAGGAGAAGAAAACCGGGCACAGCATTCAGGATGAACAGGAAGAGGCTCAGGGATGGTGGGCAGCCCAGGGTCCTAGAGGACGCCTGGGGCATGTACGCGGGGAAAGCAAAGTCCTGGGTTCGAATAACGACTGACTTGCTGCACTCTCTGGCCTCCTGGCCAGCTCATGTTAAGGGGGAGAGGTCAGTTCACCTGAGATGCAAAAAAGAAGCCAGGTCCAGTGCTCATATTCTTCTTCATGCGATGGCAGGATGTCCCATGGAAGGAAGGGGTTCATGCCAGGTCAGGAGTAGGTGGCAGACAGCTTCAGGTCTGCTGGACCATCTGAACATCCCGTGCACTTCAGAGAGAGCGCTGCACTGATCCTCGGCCCTCGGCCCTCGGGCTTACGCCCAGTATTTTGACAATACCATTCTCACCATTATTATTTGTAATTTTTCCACCACCACTCAAACCTGCCAAAAAACCAATGCTAGACAATTTATTTTATATTGCTTGTTATGAATAGCGGGCTGGAGCGATAGCACAGCAGATAGGGCATTTGCCTTGCACTCAGCTGACCCGGTTTTTCTGCCCCTCTCGGAGAGCCCAGCAAGCTACCGAGAGTATCTTGCCCACATGACAAAGCCTGGCAAGCTACCCGTGATGTATTTGATATGCCAAACACAGTAACAGGTGTCACAATGGAGATATTACTGGGCCTGCTCAAGCAAATTGATGAACAAAGGGAGGACAGTAACAGTGACAGTTAGGAATAGCACATGATGTTGTGCAGCCGTGACAGCGGCCACACTCTCCTGAAATTCTAAAATTTTAATAATTAGGGTTTGGAGAGATCTCTGCAGTGAGCTGCTTGGTTCTGAGATTCTTTTGTGTGTCTCTGAATCACAGCCCTTAAGGGGCTTAAGTAGTAGCAGGAAGCAGTTGGTGGGCATCATCTCAGAGTCCCACTGGGGCAGGGGATGAGAGGACCTGGCTCCTCCCCCATCCCATGAGGCCTGGCGTTTGTCTTTACTGCTCCCGCGTACCTGGGCTTTTCATTGGGTTCTGGAATATGGCGGCTGCTGGGATTCCTAGGGGCAAGGCGCTTTTAGAGGAGTTTAGGTGGTGGAGCAGAGCATTCATACTTATGCTCCAGAAAGAGCACAATAGTCTGGATCCAAAGGGGAATATCTGGGGATGCAGGATCAGAGGCAACCTGACTCTGGGCGCTCCTGGCATTGCGGGGGGTGGCCGATTCAGAGAGTCAGAGAACCAAAGACTTTTTTTTCAAACTTTTTTTTTATTGAATCACTTTGGGATGCAGTTACAAAGCTTTTATGATTGAGTTTCAGTCATACAATGATCGAACAACCATCTCTCCACCAGTGTAATTTTCCCACCATCAATGTCCCCAGCATCCCTCCTGCCACCCTACCCCACCCTAACCCCTGCCTCTAATATGGCAGACAATTTCCTTCTTCCTCTCTACTTTTGGGTTGGGGAAGAAGGCATCTGGGATAGAGAAGGAACCCGAGACATTTTGAGGAGTTTATTTGCAGTCGACTGCATGGGGTCCCAGCCCGAATCATGCAGCTCTGGTCACTGATTTTTTTCTTTTTTTTCTTCCAGCCTTTTAAAAGGGTTTGTGCATCCTTCTCTAGCAGATGTGCAGAAGCAGATAGGCCATTTGGTCATGTTACTGTTTGGAAAACCTAGCTGCGCAGTTTATTTCTGCTGTCGGCAATCTGGGAATTTCCTGTCTCCGATCTTAATCGATCAGTGATCATTTTCACAGTCCATTGTCTCAGAAAATCCCTGACACTGGACCTAAACAATTTTGTAAGGGTGACAGTTTTAGTCACAGTGTTTGGGGCGTCCCAGTCACTGGTCACGTCCACAGGCGGCATCTGTAAGCGGCTAGTTCTGGAGTCTGCTCTAAGGCAAAACCATGAAAAAGCAACACTGTGGTCTGAGGGCCAGGTGGTCACCCTGATGCCTGGCCACCGCCCGGGGGACTAGTAATCTTTCGTGAAGAGCAGGAGGGTGTCACAGTCTTGGACCTGCAGGTCTGAGAGAAAGCTACTATAACGCACTTTGTGGCCTGGGAATTTGAGTATCTGATCTGTTGCATCGGGCCCCCCTTCCTCCTCAATCTTCTCCTTCAGGTCAGAGATGGAGGCGTCAGGGCGAATGGCATAGGGCTCGCTATGGCCGCTGCTGTCCTTCACAAAGACCTGGATCTCCCCAGGCTCCATCTTCAGAGCCGAGACTGTCACGCTGGCAAAGAGCCCATAATCCGCCAGCGTCTTGGAGTTGCTGAGTAGTTTCCGCTCGTCTCCAGGCTCCTGGAAGGAAAACAGATGCTTCCCGCAGACCTGACACATCTTCTTGAAGCTCCTTTTCATCTTCCAGATGGGACTGTAAGGGTCCACCATGAGTGTCTGGACCACCTCACCCAGCACCTTCACTTTCACCTGAACATCTCTTGCCGCCTGGAAGGGAAGAGCGGGGAAGGGTATCTGGGTGTCTCCGCTTCGGGGGTCATGGTGCGCTTGACAGCTCACCCCAACATTGGTCACATGGGAAGGATCTTAACCCCTGGAAAAAACTGGGGCTGTCCCTGGCAAAGAAAATGGAGTCTAACAGAACATGGGAATCCACTGACCTCTGACTCCTGCTGACCAGGGGAATGACAACAAGTAGCATTTCCCAGAAAGCCTCCTCATGGGTCTCTACAGAGTCCCCAGCTGTCACCCAGGGGTCCCATTTGCACCTCCTCCCTCGACACTTTATAGGGCTATTGGGAGATGAATCCCAGAGACATCTGTTGTCTTAGCAAAAGTCCGAAACACCCTAAAAAACCAGATCAGAGGTACTCTGGCCATGTAATTCAAGGCATTTCCTTTGTCAGGTTACAATCTTGCACTCAGAAAGATGGATTAGATCCAGAGAGACTTTTGGTACTTTCTCCCCCGGCCCCCTGCCCACCTCCCGCACAGTTCTGGTATATATGTCTCCTCCTGTATTTGTTCTCCAGACCACACCTGACGGTGCCCAGGCTCTATTCCTAGCATTGGTGTGGTCTGAGGGGACCACACAGTGTCAGGGATGGAACCCGGATCTCTCGCATGTAGAGCACGTACTCCAGCCCTTTGAGCCAGCTCCCACCTGCACCCCATCCTGACATCAGCAGCCTCCAATAGCCTCGTGCTCAAAATAGTCCGTCATGATTGGTTGGTTGTTATGCCTTGTCGGTCTCTCTGTGTGGAGCCACAGACAGATAAAAATTTTTATCTTTCTGTGAGTGAGTTTTCACTATTCTGATATTTCCTTTGACGAGAAGTTCGGTGTAGTGCTATTTGCCTATTTTGTTTTTGTTGCCCTTTTTTCACCTTCAAGACAATATAATGAGTTACTCTCTTTAAGGGACTGGAGCGATAGCACAGCGGGTAGGGCATTTGCCTTGCATGTGGTTGACTAGAGTTTGATTCCTCTGCTCCTCTCGAAGAGCCTGGCAAGCTACCGAAAGCATCCCACCTGCACGGAAGAGCCTGGCACGTTCCCCGTGGCGTATTCAATATGCCAAAAACAGTAACAACAAGTCTCACAATAGAGATGTTACTGGTGCCCACTCGAGCAAATCGATGAACAACGGGATGACAGTGCTACAGCTGTGTGGAGCTGGCATTCTTTCAGATGCTTTCAGTATGCCATCAAATAATTGAATCACTTAAGTAAATAAAACTAAGCATGTGAACCCCGGCCCCCTCCACCCTTCTGCCCTCAGAGATGCACAGACAGAGGCCTGTGCCCGTATGCCTACAACCATTCCATTACAGGAGATGGAAGATGTTGGAACAGAGAACGGAGACTAGCTTGGATTGTGTGCCTTTTCTTATAGAGTTCTATTTGCTTCGGGGTGCTATGCGTGAGCGTCACTATACTCAGAACATAAAATAAAACTACCACCACCATCACCACCATAAAGATGTTGGGGAGGGTCTTGGCAAGAGTTGGAAGACTGTTCCAAGGGTCTTGCTGCCAGGCACCCTGGTGCCCTGGACCTTCCAGTCAGGGAGTGACGACTGGGTATAGGCCCCTCAGGCTGCACAGTTTGTCAGCCTTGCCTTGGAGGCCCCGCTGGTACCTTGGACTTCTGCTTCCTCTGCTTCCTCCTACAGAAATGGAAACGTTTTGCCAGGATTTCTCTCCTATTGTATGTGAGCCTGATGTTCCTCTGCAGATCGGGAGAGTGATTTCTCAGGGCTCACAGCCTAGAGTCCTTCCTGGGTGCTGTGACAAGTGTGGACAGCCATGCGCTCTGGGGAAGGCGTGGAGTTAGGCGTGGGGCTGTGCAGAGGGGATCATTGTCTACCGAGAAACCCTAAATTCCTCCTGTACTCGTCTTGTACTAGTCCAGCCAGTGCGAGTCAGTTCTTGGAATCTCTTTCTCATGAGGTTCCAGAGCACCCCAGAAATTGTCTACCCATTTTACAGATGAAAACACTGAGGCCAGACACCTTTAAAGGGAAGTGCTGCCCAGGGGTGAACATCTCCAGGGAGCCCATACTTGCACTGGCCACGGGTCCACAGTCCTGCAGCAGGCCTGTTGTAGGCAGTAGGCAGCCTCTTTGGCCATCACATCCCATCTTTTTTCTCTCCCCAGATTGTTGGTGGGATCTACAGGGTCCAAGATCACGGGCCTAGGAGAGAGAAGGGGAAGCAGATTTCTATCAACATCTGAGCTCTGGCCTCTGGTACTCAACTCCCACTCCGGGTGAGAGTTACCATGCCGGAAGGGCTCCCTGGGAACTGATGCCTGGGTTTAGGACCGGAGGAATAACTTAACCTGGTCCCTCAGTGTGGTGCCTTGACGTTGTGCTAGAATACTGGATCCAGAATGCTCTCCTAGGAATGGAGGATTCCCAAAGAAATCAGCCTGAATGCCTCGTGGGAGGACAAGGGTAAAGAGTCATGGAACGGGATTTGATCATGCCAGACCTGAAGGTTTGTTTATCTTCATATATTTTTCCCTTCTTTTGGTGACAAAGCTAAGACATTCCCCTTTGTCTTTAACTTATGTTGGGTTTTCTTTCATCCACTGTTGGTGGGAACGCGGTGTGGCTCAACCTCTATGGAAATCAACATGGAGATCCATTTAGAAAAATAGGAACAGAACTATCATATGACCCATTGATGTCTCCTCTTGGCATCTATCCCCCCACACAAAAACATTTATTCTGAAGGATGGATGCAAACCTGTGTTTATTGCCACACTTAGCACAGTAACTAAGATATGAAAACCACCCACATGCCTCGATAAATGGATCGAGAAGTTGTGATATAGAGGAAATGCCATGTAGCTCCAGGAAAGGACAAAATCATGTAATTTGCAGCAACATAAGTGAAACTAGTGGATCTCATGTCGAGGGAATTTAGTCAGAAGGAAAGGGATCAGATACAGGATGATGTCTCTCATAGGTGGGACTTAAAGATATACAGCAGCCAAGGGTCCCAGGAGAGCTAACTTGAGTTAGTGGGGTTGAGAGGGAGGGGGCACTGACATCCTTAGTGGGGGGAGGGGGAGGTGGTATGCTGGTGATGGCTGTGGTGTTGGGATTCTGTGCATACCCCTGACAGCACTGTCAATCATGGCATCTCAAGACAAGCATTTGAAACGGGTGGGTTTTTCTGTTCCTTGCAGCCCCAAGCAGTCCTGGAACATACCTTTGTTCCTTCAGCTGTTTTTTGATAAAGATTCTGACAGCCTCATTTTCGAAGTTATAGTACTTGGTCCAGTAGATGCAGATATCATCATAATCTTGGAGGAGCTTCATCACTGTCCTAAAGCCTTTGGCCAGGTCGAAATTCTCACGTTCGCCTGTGCCTGTTTCCCAGGCGTAGATGGTCAGCAACTCCAAGGCGTATTTTGAAGGTAAGGCCACTTCTGTGTGTTTGTGTTTCTCATGCTGGAGAGGAGGAGAAAGAGGGGTAGGGGTGTAGTGGGGGGAGCTGTGATAGATTATTATTACCCTGGGAATTGGATCTTTCCAGACCGCTCTATTTCCAGGTCCCGGTATCATGTCACTCACCACATGGCACCTTTGAGGTGGGCCAGGTGGTGTGGGGCCCAACTGAATGCATACCCTGGGCTCAGCAAGATTTCAAAAAGGAGGAAAGTGTGGCTGGGAGTACAGGTTCGTGGCAAATATCCGCCTTCAGTGCCAAGCCACTGAGTTGTAACCCTGGCACCATGTGTGTGGCCCACTCTCAGGCTGGGCTGTGTATCTCTGGGAATTGTCCCCAGCCCCTGAGCCTAATGTGGGGGTATCCACCATTAAACAAACAAACAAAAAAGTGGAAGGGTGGGGTCAGGGAGATAGTCCAGTGGGTAAGGCTCTTGCCTTGTACATGGTCAACCTGGGTCTGATCCCTGCATCCCTTATGGTCCCCTGAGCCCTGCCAGGGGTGATCCCTCAGTGCAAAGTCAAGAGTAAGCCTTGAGAATAGCCAAGTGTGGCCCAAAAATCGAGAAAAAAATCGCAGCCAGTTCTGTCTCTTTTTCCCCCTAGCCGGACCCCCAGCCCAACCTCCCGGCTTGGCCCCCAACCTGGATCCCCAGCCCAGGCCCCCAGCTAGACCCCCCTAGTCTAGTCCCCAGCCCAGCCCCCAGTCCAGCCACCCAGCTCAGGCCCCAGCCTGGACCCCCAGCCCAGCCCCCAGACTGTACCTGCAGGTACCACCAATGTTTCACCAGCCGCAGGAGTTTCTTGACCTTTACAGAGCGACCTTTCACGAAGTATCGCTGCAAGATGGTGAAGCTGGGTGAGAACTCCCCAGGGTAGCCTTCGTAGGTTATTAAGTTTTCATAGATTTCCTGTGGTAGTGTAGAGTCCGGGAAGGCTTTTCCTGCTAGGAGAGCACCTGGTCAGGAATGTCAACCCTTCTGCGTGAAGACGTGGGGAAAGGACCAGCATTCCACGTTAACACACAAAATCCTCATTCTTGCTTTATTTCCCCCACCTTATGGCGAGACGTTATTCTCAGGTTACTTACGAGCCCTGGGTTTGTGAGATCTACAGGATGGCCCTAGGGAATAGGTGAAATTTCACAGAACCCTAAGGAATCACACAGATGGGGCCAAATCAGGCTCAGTATTGTCAGTTTTCTATGGTCCAACCTGATTTTGTGATCCCATTGAACTGGTTACTATAGTTGGAGATGTTTGATTTCTTTCCCAAGGACAATCAACAAGTTTTTGGAATCCAAATATGGAGAGATAGAGATAGAGATAGATAGATAGAGAGAGACAGGTGGAGAGACAGAGAGACAGAGATAGAGAGAGACAGAGAGACAGAGACAGAGAGACAGAGAGAGACACAGAGAGACAGAGAGAGAGAAAGAGAGAGAGACAGACAGAAAGAGAGACAGAGAGACAGAGAGAAAGAGACAGAGAGAGAAAGAGGGATAGAGAGAGACAGAGAGATAGAGAGAGAGAGAGAGAAAGCTCCTGCTACAGAGGCAGGGGTGGGAAGGGAAACTGGGGACATTAGTGCTGGGAAATGTACACTGTTGAAAGGAAAGGTGTTGGAACATTGTATGACCAAAATCCAATCATGTACAACTTTTTAATGAGTATCTCACTATGATTCAATTAAAAAATAAAAAATAAAATAAACAAAAACAACAACAAAATACCCGAGGAAAAAAATTCCACAACTCTATTAAATGGAAATTCATGGGATGTAGCAATAGCACACAGAGGAGTTTATCTGAAGAGAGGAAACATTAATGGGGTGGGGTTTTTGTTCCCATGTTCAGAGCAGCGTGATCCACAGTCATTAAGCATGGACTCTACCGCAAGGCCCATCCACAAATGACTGGACAGAGAAGCTATTATGTCTGTACACAATGGAATACTACCATGTCATTGGGAAAAAAGGTGAAATATTGTCTCCAGCAACAGAATAGAGGGAACTTGAGACAATTAAGCTAATGTGAAATAACTATGTAAATGAGAGCCCATGAGCTAATGGTTTCACTCACATTTGGAATATGGATGAGTGAACTAAACTGGCAAGAAACAATAAAACCACTCCTAGACTCAGTGGCATTAACTAGAGGGGGAACGGGAGTTTGAAAGGAAGGAACCAAGGGGGTTTTTGGGGTGCTGGGAGGAGGACACTCTCACACAGTCACACACCAAGAGGTGTGAGACCAACCCCTAAAAAATCTCTCATGCTACTGGCACATATCAGAAAGAACAAGAACTTCTAGTGCTTGTGTGGATGTGGGGAGAAAGGGACTCTCATTCATTGCTGGTGGGGATGTCAACTGATCTAGCCTTTCTGGAAAACAATATGGGTATTCCTCAAAACACTAGACATTGAGCTCCTCTATGACCCAGCAATACTGCTCATGAGAATATACCCCAAGGACCCCAAAACATAATTAAAAAATGTCATCTGCACTTTAAAATGTTAATTGCAGCACTATACACAATAGACCAGAATCTGGAAACAATGCAAGTGCCCAAGAACAGATGAGTGGATAAAGAAACTTTGGTACATCTACACAGTGGAATATTATGCAACTATTAGGAAAAAGTGAAGTCATGAAATTTGCTTATATGTGGATGAACATGGAGAGTATCATACAGAGTAAAAAGAGTCAGAGGGAGAGGGACAGACATAGAATGATTGTGGGATATTAAAAAAAAACATAGTATGAGAATAATACCCAAAGTAGAAACAAGGGCCAGGAAGACCCATGCATCTTAGGAAGTTTGCCACAGGTGTTTGGGAGTGTAGTTAGGACAGAGAAGGAACCATTATAACAATGATAATAGGAAATGGACAAAAACTGGGCGCTGAAAGGAGGTAAAGTGATATACGAGGGAGAGAGAGAGAGAGAGAGAGAGAGAGAGAGAGAGAGAGAGAGAGAGAGAGAGAGAGAGAGAGAGAACATGTGTCTGCCATAGAGGCAGGCTAGTGAGGGGAGGGATGGGAGGGAAACTGGGATCATTGGTGGTGGAAAATGTACATTGGTGAAGAAACGGGTGTTGGTACATTGTATGACTGAAACCCAATCATGATCAACTTTGTAATCGAATATCTCAAGGGAATTCAATTAAAAAAAAAACCCTAAAATCCATCATATTGTCAAACAACAAGGTTTCCCAAGGGAAGAGTAGGATCCCCAACTTGGGTTGGGTGGAAATCTGGTATAAGTTTCACAATGATACATGGCCACATGCATTTATGGGGGAACCTCATCTTCGAGGGGTCTTTCCAGACCTACCCTCCTGCACTGAAAAGTGAAGAAACTTTCTATCTCCCCCCACCCCCTGATCCTGCCCACCAGTTTCTGCTCTCCCAATCCTCCCCAAGGCCAGCTTGGAAGAATGTCCTCTCCCAGAGGTGTCTGTGCAGTGACTCCTCATCCTCTTTACCCAGAACGTCGAAAGCAGGGACCACGTCCACTTTGATGACATCGCTGTTCTTCTTGGCCTGGACCTGGATGGCCAGGGAGTGGGGGCTCCTGCTCTGGTGGGAAGTCACAGAGAGGCCGTAGGTCAGGCTCCGACTGAAGTGATCCACTTTCTTCTTGATGAAGTCAATGACATCCGTACAGAGCTCTGCTTGGTCTTGGAAGCTGGAGAAACAGCTCAGGAATAGGATCAAGTCCACGTTGGAGGTGTGGTTCGGCATTGTCCCCTTTCCGTAGGAGCTACCCTAGGGAGCACATCAGTATTGAGCTTCATTTGCCTTGAGGCCTGATGCTCTGATAGGTGGGCGGGGGGGGGTAGAGGGTGGGGTTAAGCCAGAGACACTCTGGAAGGCTCTTGACTCAGGTCCCCAAAGGAGCCTTGGTCATCCATTGGACATGATGACTGTCAAGAGGTTCATATTATCACATCTTTTTTATTTCGGTGGTTGTGGTGGGGGAACACCTGATGATATTAAGTGTTTACTCCTGACTCTAGACTTAAGTATTACTCTTGGTGGTAGTTAAGGGACCAAATGGGATGCTGGTATCAAACCCAGGTTCGCTGCATTCAAGAGAAGTACTCTACCTGCTGTATTATTTCTCTGGCCACTTACTAATTTCTTTTTAAAATTAAAATTTACTTTTGAGGGCCCCTTTAGTCACACCCACAGGTGCTCAGGGCTTACTCCTGGCTCTGAACTCAGGAATCACTCCTAGGAGGGCTCCAGGTACCATATGGGATGTCAGGACTGTATGGGTTGGCCACACGCAAGGCGAATATCTTACCTGCTGCACTGTTGCTCCAGCTGATGTTTTTGCCTCTTTACATTGATTATAAAAATAAATCACTGGGCAGGCTGCTCAACCATCTCAGTGAGATGCAGGTTTTCCGATTCATCCCTGTCTCTAAGCCTTTTCTCAGAGGCCATTAGAGGTACCTGCTTCTTACACACCATCAATTGTCAACGCCTACACCAGTATGGTCTAACAAAGACCTCAGTCAACCGCCATGTGTGACTCTTTGGTTTTGAATATATCTATCTATCTATATATAGATAGATAGATATATAGATATATCTCCCTGCTCCGAGAAGTAGAATTTTGCACAAAGGAGACAGTGGTCTGATCCCATTTGGAATTTTGGGACAACAGCAACATTGGTCAGGCAAAACTGTAGATTGAATATGATGTGGTCAATTTTGTTGTGGAACTGTCCAACAAGAGAGTCCCATGTCCAACGTTTAGATTTGGCCTCCTGAAACTGTGAGTTACCATGGATGGTCTTGGTCGACATGATGAACTCAGACAGTCTCTCACCCTGTTTGTTCCATTCTAGGCCATGGGTCCCAATGTGGAGTTCTTCGGCCAATCTTCTCGGTCTTATCTTGGCATTAAAATCACTGACAGTAATCTTGTAGAAGGTGTGGTCTTCTTTATAGAACTTCTCCAGCTTCATGTAGAACTTCTCAATTTCTTCATCATAATTGGATGTTGATGCAAGAAAAAACGGCTGCAAAGTTTAAGAAGAGAACTCCCAGAACAACCACCAATTGGAAGCTCTTTGGCACTATTGCAGCAATATGGAAAGATGTCGTCATTGACAACATTGACGAAGAATATGATCGACTGGGTCAGCACCTCCATGATTGTGTGAGAAATGCTGAGAGAGAGAAAGCCACAAAAAGACGCTTGTCTTCAAAAACTCTTGAGTTCATTTGCCAAGGTGGCTGGGCGTGAGCCTCAGGTAACCACAAGCTAATGTCTGAGCTCACAAAGCAGTGCAGAGAATCTATAAAGGATTCTATCAGTGTTGACTGATGTGGCAGAAGCCAGGAAAAGCATTTGCAATGCCCGCCTGTCCTTTGCCAACTACAAGACCAAGATGACTGCCCTCCTGATGGATTTATCCATGACTTCTACTCGGATCTCTTCAATAGCCACATCCATATACCATATTCCACATACCAAATTCCACAGGATGGATATGTCCCAAAGTTCTCCCTTCTGAAATCCAACACGCCATTTTGTCGGTAAAGAAGCGAACAGCATCTGGCCCCGACAAGGTCAGACCCGAACACCTGAAGAATCTGCCATCAGTACTCATCAATACACTGGCTTGGATCTTCACATGTTACCTATCTGAGTTCAAGGTTCCGTCCCAATGGAAAACCAGAAGGATCGTTCTTCTGTACAAGAAGGGAGACATCCATGACATTGGCAACTATCGCCTGATCTGCCTGTTGTCCATCATCTATAAACTGTTCACTTGAGTCATCCTGAATAGGATTGGCAGAACACTAGATGAAGGACATCCATGTGAGCAAGCCAGGTTCCGCAAAGGATTCAGTACGATCGACTATATCCACACAGTAACCAAGCTCATTGAGGTTTCTCGGGAGTTCAAGATGCCGTTCTGTTTAACGTTCAATGATTTAAAGAAGGCTTTTGATTCTATTGAGACTAAAGCAGTCATCGAAGCCCTAGCCAAACAGGACGTTCAAACTCAATACATCAGGATCCTCCATGAGTTGTGTTATGGATTCACCACCAGGATCTCACCATTGTACAAGGAAGTGATCATCGACATGAAGAGAGGGGTTCGGCAGGGTGATACCATTTCACAAAAACTCTTCAGTGACACCCTCGAGAATGTCATGCGACGACTGGAATGGGAAGGAATGGGAGTGAATATAGACAGTTGGCAACTACACCACCTCCACTTCACTGATGACATCATTCTAATAACACCAAACATTAGCCCAGCAGCACAAATGCTGGCCGTCTTCGACCGTGAATGTGGAAAGGTCGGACTGCAGCTGAATCTCACAAAGACAATGTTTATGAGAAACAAACTCTTTCCTGACATTCCATTCACTCTCAACGGAATGACCATCTCTGAATGCAACAGTTATGTGTACCTAGGTCGAGAAGTCAACATGACAAATGGCCTGGCACCTGAGTTGCGCAGGAGGAAGAGAGCGGCTTGGAACGCCTTCAAGAGCGTTGAAGAAATAAATAAGAGGACGAAGAAACTCCAGCTCTGGGCACATCTCTTCAATTCCACTGTTCTTCCTGCATTAACATACGCTTCAGAGACCTGGGCCCCAAGAAAACAGGATGAGAACGCTATTTGGGTCTTTCAAAGAGGAATCAAAAGAGCTTGGAATATCATGCTTCACTCATATGAGAGAAAGAATCCGGAGTTCCGACCTCTGTCATCAGTCAAGAGTCAGGGCCGCTGTCTCATTTGCCAAGGTGTTGAAAGTCAGATGGGCTGGACACATAATGAGATTTGGAGATGACCACTGGACTAGAGCCTTACCGACTGGATTCTACAGGATGTCAAAAGACCGCGTGGCCGCACACCTACGAGATGGTCAGAATTCTTTGTCAAGACCCTGAACGATTGATTTGAGGCTCTTCGTGTTCCTAGAACGAGCAGACTCCATTGAGCTACACTAGCAAGTGACAGGGACAAATGGGGATGTTACTTGCGCCCGCTCGAGTGAATCGATGAGTAACGGGAAGTCAAGTGATCAAAATAAATTGAGACATGAAAAGCTCAGCTCTGCACTCAGACATTCCCCTCAAGTGTTCTGGGATCCCATGGAAGGTGACTATTACATCGGATTACATAGGCCGTGTATTCTCACACTCAGCATCATGCATTTGATAGCCACCCATGCTCTGTGTGCACTGATAACTAAACAATGTTAATCATGCAAGCACTTCTATTGCCATAAAATGTTCTAGGGGGCAGTTCATGCCCAGACCAATGCATTTTTGTATCTAAGCACCAACATATATTCTATATTTAAAAATTTTAAAAGGAACTGGAGCAACAGTACAGTGGTTAGGGCATTTATCTTGCACACGACCGACCTGAGTTCAATCCGTGGCATCTCTTATGGTGCAGACTACTATAACGACTAGTGAAACCAGATAGAGAGAAAGGGCCTTTTTTGTTTCATTATATTACCTTTACGGCCACGCCACCCTCCCCTGCTGCCACCATTCCTAAGCCTTACCAACCGGCCATCTATTTTCTATCTCGACTCTCTTGGAGAGAAGAGTTATATAAATGCATCAGGTAGAATGTTCTTACTGTGACCATTTGACTTTCTTTTTTCCCTCTCCTCCCTTCATATCATGTGTTTGATACCTATCCATGCCCTTTGTCTACTGATTAATAGATGTTGATCTTGCAAATTATCAAGCAAATGGTGGCTACAAGAGGGAACCCTCATTCCATCTTGTTATTCAAGGCTTGGGGTTTGTCTACAATCCACCTATTGTTTACTGCTGAGTTCTCAAGAACTTGCCTCTGATGTCTGCGCGTCTTAGCTGTCATTTGGGTGAGTGACAGTGGTTTGTGCAAATCTGTTCCCTTTTGGTTGACACCAGAAGTTCACATTCTTTTTATCTTTATTTATTTATTTATTTTGCTTTTTGGGTCACACCCGGCGATGCACAGGGGTTACTCCTGGCTCTCCAGTCAGCAATTACTCCTGATGGTGCTTGGGGGACCATATGGGATGCTGGGAATCAAAGCTGGGTCGGCCGCATGCAAGGCAAATACCCTACCCGCTGTGCTATAGCTCCAGCCCCTCTTTTTATCTTTAAATGAGAGAGAGAGAGAAGAGAGAGAGAGAGAGAGAGAGAGAGAGAGAGAGAGAGAGAGAGAGAGAGAGAGAAAGTGCTTGCCATAGAAGCAGTCTGGAAGTTGGGGATGGGAGTTGATGGGAGGGAAACTGGTACTGGGAAACGTGCACTGGTGGAGGGATGGGTGTTGGAACACTGTATGACTGAAACCTAATCATGAACAGCTTTGTAAGGGTCTATCTCACAGTGATTCAATAAAAAAAAATTTTTAAAAATTGAAAAAAATATTTTGGAAGCTAAATTCAACCCCAAAGTTTTCTTTTTAAAAATCTCTCCTGTGTTCATTTTCTTATTCTTTGTCATTATTTTTCCTCATACTTCTTTTTTGGTCGATTTTTGATTTTTCCCCCTCTTTTGTTGTTCCTTACAACAGAAGAAGCCCCACGAACAACACTGCAAGGGCAGGGAGAGAGAGCTGGGCACGCAGGGACGCTGGAGCGGGGTTTGCAATGCTCAGTCGGGACGATGGGAAGGGGACTCGCAGCAGGAAGGGGACGGGGGCTGTCAGGAGGGCTCCCCCGGGGCTCCGGCCTGGGACTTCTGTTTGGATCTGTATAAAAACTACTGGGATAGAAAAAAAATGATGACGATAACGATGATGATCACTGTTACTGTCACTGTCTTCCCATTGTTCATCGATTTGCTCGAGCAGGCACCAGTAACATCTCCATTTGTTCCTGTCATGTGCTAGTGTAGCCCGATGACATATTGGGGGATCCTTCAGGATCAGGGGAATGAGGACCATCATTGCTACTCTTTTTGGCATATCGAGTATGCCACAAGTAGCTTGCCAGGCTCTGCCGTGTGGGCGGGATACTCTCAGTAGCTTGCTGGGCTTTCTGAGAGGGATGGAGGCTCTTGGGGCAGCTTCTAATCACCTTTACAGGTGTTCCCAGTCAGGCATATATGTGGGCAGGATACTTTCGGTAGCCTGCTGGGTTCTCTGAGAGCAAAAACTAGACAATAAGAGGGCAATAAGATGATGATGAAAACAATATTATGTGAAATAGAAGCTGGGGTAGGTCCATGGCCCTCATTCATGAAGAAAGAAGGATAACCCTAAAAAACTGAAAGTGGAGGCACAAGTGGACGTGAAAGGTTGTGGGACCCGTGAACTGTAGGAGAGGTTTGGGGGGGCAGCCTCTCCCCTGGCCTCATGGGACACTCAATGAAAACATTTTTTACTAACATATATATGTATATATATATTTTAATGTTTTTTTTTCTTTTTGGGTCACACCCAGCGATGCTCAGGGGTTACTTCTGGCTCTGCATTCAGTAACTATCCCTGGTGGTGTTCAGGGGACCATATGGGATGCTGGGAATCGAACCCGGATCAGCTGTATGCAAGCCAAATGCCCTACCCACTGTGTTATCGCTCCAGTCTCTTTACTAACATATTTTGCTTTGGGGCCACACCCAGATGTACACAGGACTTACTCCTGGCTCTATGCTCAGGGATCACTTTTGGCAGTGTCAGGAGACTATATGGTATGCCATGGATTGAACCCAGGTCAGATGCATGCAAGGCACACACCCTAGCTGTTATACTAACTCTCTGACCCCTAAATCAGTATATTTATATATATTTATAAATCCATACAAATGAACGTGTTTTCTGGCTGTCTATTAGGTGTGATTGATCGTAGCAGAGTAAAATGTTAATAGTGTGATTGGTGCGTGGTCATTTTGTAATTTGGGGAATATTTTTATATTTTGGTGCCTAAATGTGGAATTAGAAACATCATGAAGCAAGTCGAAGGCTGGCTTATAGGGCCAGTGGGCCTGCTTTGCATGTGGGAGGTCTGGATTCACCCCTTTCACCGTCTGCGCCCTCCAGAAGATGTGGAAGGCCACCCCAGCACCGTGGAAGGCCACTCTGGAGCACCTATCTGGGAGTAGCCCCCAAGTCTGCCAGGGGCAGCCCTATAGCAATAAATAAATAAAATCACAGAGCAGATCTGGGATATAGCTCAGAGGTAGAGAGACTGTGAAGTTTTAGGTTTGATCTCTGCCACAGCACAAACCAAACATTTTCCCCCGACCCCACAACCCCCAACACATACACCAAATAAAACAAAACAACTAAACTCACGAAGCAGTGTGCCCTCAACTCATGAAGCAGTCTGACCTTAGACTCCTGGGTAATCTTAAACATGTTCATCATGTTCATCAAAAAGAAGCTTTTTCCTATTTTGATTTGAGATTCTAAAAACAAGGTATGCTCTAATGTGGCAGTAAAATAAAGGCTGCTGTGACCATATGGTGGAGAAGGGGCCATGCATGTGGCCTGAATTCCATCCCTGACACCTCATATGGTCCCCCAAGTACCACCATGAGTGACCCCCGAGCACAGAGCTAGGAATAAGTTCTGAGTACCTTAGGTGTGGCCCTCTCTAAATAAACCAAAACAAAACAAAGCAAAAACCACTGTGCAGTAGAGTCTGGAGTACATGCTTTGCATGCAGGAGTGCTGGGTTCAATCTTGTAGTCTCCGGAGGCCCATCAGCCCCACCAGCCCCTGAGCTTGGAGCATTCCCCAGCAGTGAGCTCGTCACGGTCACTCCCCAGAGCAAAGCATCTGTAGAACAGGAAGCAGAAGTTGCCCTTTATCCCGGGACTTCAGCACTGGGGAGCCCAGCCTAGAACTGCAAGGTTGACTCTTAAAGGAACAGAAGGAACCCCGAGTCTCTGTCTTCTAAGCTTCTAAGCTCCTGGTTTGCTAAGAAGACCCTGACTCTTGGTTTAAGTGACTGAAAGTTTCTTCTAGAAAAAAATTGCTGCTGAGGGACCAATGGGTGACACCAGCAGTGCTCAGTGGCCAAATGGAAGGATTCTCTTTCAGTGCAGACTTTGCCATACTCAGGCAGAGGCTGATGGCTCTCGTGCTTGATGGTTTTCATTGCAGCAAAAGGCACACAATCTGTGGTCAAGACACATTTGATTTAGGCTGCAATACTACAAATTCAATGACAGGGGCTGGGGAGATAGTACAGAGGCATGCTTCTAACCCCAGACCAATCCCCGACACCTCTTTCCCTCTTGAACATTGATACATGTGGTCTTGGAAGCCTCCTGAGTGTGGGAAGCCAAGAACCCTCTCATAGACCCTAGCCGTGGTTCCCATGTTAGGAACTGCTTGGGACAGACATTGGTGACAGTCTCCCAGGGCTTCTTGACCTCAGCCGATGCCTGATCTATAGCCACATAACATCAGGCTGACAGTTATCTTATCTGGCCTCATCTATAGTAACCTCCAGGATGCATCTACTGCCCTAAGACCCTTTGATATACAAATGTAAAGCTCAGGATGCACCTACTGCCATAAGATCCTTTGATGTACAAATGTTTACCTTGAATGTTAGGTAAAGCTCTTGTTGCTGACCTGACCATGTATGGTTATATTGCTTCTGCTCCTGACTGGGCTGCCCCGACCCTATATAAATAGCCTGTAGCCCCCAATAAAGTTCTGTCCCTTTTTCTCTCTGTTTCTAAACTGTACTCTGTCTCTTTTGTCTTGTATTCATTCGGTTGGTCCCTCCTTGCACCATCGGATCAGTCCTCGGGTCACCTCCGCGGGCCGGAGAGTGGTTGGGGGGGACCCTGCACCTGAGCACAGGGGGCGGCGGGGGGGGGGGCCGCAGGTATTTCCTGGCATCTCTATCAGAGCACCTGCTGCCTTGGACACTTGCATTTAACCTTCTGGCCTAGTTGGCTGAAAATTTACTGGATTATTCACAGAGCCTCTGAGCACCACTTGGGACGTGGGCCACCTGCCCATCTGGTCGAATTCTGATTGAGCACTTTTCTAGGAGAAACCAAGCCACAACAGGGTGTTTAATTATGTGGTCCATCTCTGAAAATCCATTTTACTGTGGGGGTACTCTCTGTAATTATGACATTACATAATTTTTCTTGTACTATTATAATAATATTATGAAATTAGCTTATAATATTAAGTTTCTATTATAACTTAATAGGATTCATAATATAAATTTAGGATGGTGCAGTTTTTGAAGAAAAATACAGCAAATAATATTTATGACCGGGGACAAAGTGTGCTTTTTAAATTTCTAAAAATTTTTTTGCTTTTTGGGTCACACCCAGCGATGCTCAGGGGTTACTCCTGGCTCTGCACTCAGGAATTACTCTTGGCAGTGCTCGGGGGACCATATGGGATGCTGGGAATCGAACCTGGTTCGTCCATGTGCAAGGCAAGTGCCCTACCATCTGTGCTATCGCTCCAGCCCCAAGTGTGCTTTTTTGGTGGGGGAAACTAGGGGGCATCCCATAGGTACTCAGGGATCAAAGCTAGGCTCCAGCATTCAAAGCACACACTCTAGTCCTTCAAGAAATCTCCTCTTCCCACAAGAAGGTTTTGTTCAACAAGAAATAGGAAGTGTACAGTTGAGAAACACCTGTTGCTTCTATTCCATCTATGTCTCAGAGGGCTGGATTCCAAATGATAGTCCTTGTCATTCTATTGCTTTGGAGAGTCACTGTTTAAAAGCACATTCCCTGCTTCTGGGACACTTAATCTTTCTCAACATCCAGGCTGAAGAAGAGGAAGGACACCAAGGCTGAGAGATAAAACCATTCCCCTGCTCCCCAACCCCCCCTCCCCCAGGGCTCACCATTCCAAAGGAGAAGAACCGGGATTGGAGCACAGGGTTGTCACTCACCTTCACCACCTTCAGCACCTGGACATTTCGGCCTGCCACCTGCATATCCTGGAAGCAGTGATTCTTCAAGAAAATGGCACATCGGTGACAAGCATCCTGCTCTTTCCTCTTCCACTCCCGGTCGGGCTGGAGGCTCTCCTCCACGAAATCATTGAGGTCCTCTGCCAGAGTCTTGTACAGATCCTGCCGGGGTTCCATCTCTGACCAAACTTGGTGTCTGGCCAAACCTTTTAAGTCTCTCCCAGCCCCAGCCTGGCAGGAGGCTCCTCCCTCTCCTACGCCCTCTCTGACATGGATGTGAGGAAACAGAAACTGAGCCTGCGGGCTGCACTTTTCTCTTTCTGTATTGGCTGTTAGGAGATTCGATGGCGCTGGCACCTCTCCAAGAGACTCTCAATCCAGTGTCCTGGAGTGAGTCCTACTTCTTGGTGTCTGTACAGAATTGGGGTGAAACCTGGGGATGTCTGCTCTGGGTGCTGGCTGATGTCTATGTGAATGGGAGAGTGGGAGCTTGAATTGTCTTAAATGGAGTCTTAAATGGACTGTGGTTTTACTTATTTATTTTGGTCTTGAAGCCACACCCAGCAGTGTTCAGGCATGACTCCTCGCTCTGCACTCAAGGATCACTCCTGGCAGGCTTGGAGGACCTTAATATGGGGTGCCTGGGACCAAACCTGGGACGGCCACATGTAAAACAAGTGCCCATTGTACTATTGCTCTGGTCTTGTGTGAGGTCATTACTTTTTTTTTTTTAATGTAGGAGTACTGCTATTTATTCAGCCAGAGATCATTACTTTCTAATCGTCTAAGAGCAGATACCTTCTTTACCTGTCGTTTTGTTCTTTATATCCTGGTGACCCAACCTTTCTTTATCCCCAGTAGCTATAAACTTAAATATTCAGGAAGCAGTTTCAAAAAACAAAATTCACTGGGGCTGGAGCAATAGCACAGCGGATAGGGCATTTGCCTTGCACATGGCCGACCCAGGTTCAATTCCCAGCATCCCATATGGTCCCCTGAGCACCTCCAGGAGTGATTCCTGAGTGCAAAGCCAGGAGTAACCCGTGAGGATCGCCGGGTGTGACCCTCCCCCAAAAAAACCCAAAATTCACTGAATTAGAATTAAAAGAATAGTAATTTGGGGTGGACTAAATTTAGGTAGAATCTAAAATGTATCACTGTATCACTGTATCACTGTCCTCCCATTGTGTTGTTCATGGATTTGTTCCAGCTGGCCCAGTAACATTGTGAGACTTGTTACTGTGTCACAGGGAGCTTGCCAGGCTCTGCTGGCAAGATACTCTGGTAGCTTGGGAGCTCTCTAGGAGGGGCAGAGGAATCGAACTTGGGTCGGCCATGTTGGCTGCATGCAAGGCAAACGCCCTACCCGCTGTGCTATTGCTCCAGCCCAGAATCTAAAATGAGACCAAAGAAAGAATAAAAGTTGGAGGGTGTGGCACAAGGGCAGGAGAAGAGGCAGAGGAACCCCATGGCTGAGTAAAAGACTGGATTTGCCTTAGCTAGGCGAAGGGCTTTGGCTGTGAAAATTTCTTACTGACTCGGTCCTTGGGCAGAAGCTCCCCGCCCGCACTCCTTGAAGCTGCCCGCAAGCCCTGTGTGCTGATTTCTCCAACAGCCGTTTGTGATATGGGCTGAGGGCAGCCTGTACAAACAAGGTAGTTGGCACTTTTTCTGCATATAACTTCTGGTTCTCCAGTGGTTCTGTTGAAAAGTCCTGCTTATGCCGTTGTAGAAAAAAAAATCTTTCATCAGAAAGGGTTTCTGCGATGAGTGGCACACGTAAGGACAGCTCACTTGCTCTGTGTGGAGGCGACATCAGGAGATTTCAGAAACATAACTTTTTGGCAGTTGGGCAGCTGTTTATCACTGATCCTGGCTCCCCTCAAACCTCACCCCCCAAATCTCTCCTTTAAAAAATAATCCCACCACCAATGTACCCAGTTTCCCTCCCACGCCCCTTCTTCTCTGCCTGCCTCTGTGGCTGCCTCTTCCTCCTCCTCCTTTCTTTCCTACCCCCCCTTCTCTGTCTCTCTCACACCCCCTTTTGGGCATTAAGGTTTGCAATGCAGATACTGAAAAGTTATCATTAATATCCCCATACCTCCTTTCAACACTCAGTTCTTGTCCAGAGTGATAATTTCTACTATTGTTATATTGTGCCCTTCTCTATCCTAAATACCCGTTGTCCCCCACACACTTGTGCCAAGCTTCCAACCATTGACTAGTTCTCCTGGCCCATTTTACCTGACTTCGGATATTAGCCTCATCTATCTCACAAATGTGTGTATATTATTTATATATCCCAAAATGAGTGCGATCATTCTATATCTGTCCCAGATAAAAGAGTAAAAGATTAAAAAAAATCCTTAATCACACACATCAATTTGGGGTGCTGGTGATTCCGGAGCGGACCACTTTTTGCCATATGTTCTTAATGAACCATTCCCTTTACCATTTCATTTTTGGTTTTGTTTTTGGGCCCTACCCAGTGTTACTCAGGGCTTACTCCTGGCTCTATGCTCAGGGGAATCACAGGATGATGGGGATCGAAACAAGTCAGTCATGTGCAAGGCCCGAATCCTGCTCACTAGGCAATCTGGCCCCTCTTGAGGTGGTCCAGACCCTGCTGTGCAAAATAACACCTTTGGAATTTCTGCTTCTGTGCTCTCCCGCCAGCTGCCTGCAAGTGCCCCAAGCCACAAGATCATATTCAACCTCTTCAATCTTTTATTTTTTTTTGTTTTGGGGTCACACCAAACTCTGGGCCTGCCATCGGACCACTGGGTACAACATCTGGCCCACCAAATCCACCATTCTCCCTCCCAGGATGGTTAGCACCTCAAGGTGTTGGGAGCTCTAGGCAGGCTCCACCAGATTTTTGCCTCAGTTCCGGGACCCTGGGCATTGGGACAGGGAGCATCAGGGTTGCAAGAAGGGTTAGAATCAAGGAAAGCTCTGGGCCTATAACCCAGTCACTGACAAAACACAGTGTCTCAAAGGTGACCCCAGGGTCCAGCCGTAAAAGCTGCCCTCTGAGCAAAGATACGCTCAGAGCAAATTTGACTCATCTGCACTTCACAGTGGCTAGCGTGGCACCTGCCACTCCCAGACTCAGAAGGAAAACTGATGTTGGGTCTGTCACCCCGCCACCGGAAAAAACAAGGTCCAGACCACTGGGTACGTTACATTCCTTATCTGGGCCGACAGCACCTCACACGACTGGAAGCTCCCAGAAATATCTGAATTGGGCAGAGTGCAGCTCTGCTAGAGAGCAGGGGCGCAGAGTTGCTCATCACTGACCTTGGTGCCCAAAGGGATGCTGGGGAACTGTGGTGCCCGGGTGAAACTAGGCGTGATGAATGGGCCCCTCCAGCAGTCCTACTTTTCCTTGAGTTCCTGGGCTGGTAGGGTGACACCGCTTGTGGAAGGGCTGCAGGTGGGGAGAGAGGCCCACAAGAGCGGTGGTGGCCCTTGATGGCCTCATTTTCATCACGGGGAGCCCGGCTGACGTGGAGGATGGTGGTGGCCTTCTCCCCATCCAGATTTTCAGAGCAGTATCCCAGATCAGGGGCTGACGATAGCTTCAGGGTGTCCCCTTTCTTGCAATGCATCGGGGACATCTTGTGTCTTGCAGTTTGACATGTGTTGGAAGAAGTGGGGTAGGTTCCAGGGTGGCTCCCCAGCATGTGGTCACAGTCACTTTACCCACTGACACCTTCCCCTGCATCTTCTTGGAAATGCAAGTGCAGCGGGACTTAGTGGAGGTCAGTCTCTCTGCAGGCCTGTGGGGCAGCTGGGCGCTGGACATGGGGTGCGCCCTTGGTCTGTATGGAGGCCCGTAGCTCTGGGGTGAAGCTGGAGATGGCATTACGTGAGGAGTAAGGGTTCAGGGACAGCCGGAGTTTCCTAAGTAGTCTTGGCCCTGAGCTGGTCACTTTTCCCACTGTCAAACACGTGGCTCTGGAGAGGAAGGGAGTGGGGCCTTAAGGACCCCCAGAGGCCAGTATGTGGACCCCGCTCCTCCAACTCTTGCTCTCACCTGCCTGCTAACGGGCTCCTGGCCTCTGTGGCACTGTGGGTTATTTTTTATTTTTTATTTTTTTGCTTTTTGGCTCACACCCAGCGATGCTCAGGGGTTCCTCCTGGCTCTGCACTCAGGAATTACTCCTAGCACTGCTTGGGGGACCCTATGGGATGCTGGGAATTGAACCCGGGTTGGCTGCATGCAAGGCAAACACCCTCCCCGCTGTGCTACTGCTCCAGCCCCACTGTGGGGTCTTGGATCTGTTCCCGGTTCCTTTTCCAGGTCCTGCAGAGGAAGCTCAACACGGCCTGGGCCCAGGTGTTCTGGGGAGCGGTGAGAAGCTGCCAGGGGACTGGACAGTGCAGCAGTTTGCTCGGAGCACTTGCAGTGCTGTCCAACACGGGGGTCAGGCACCAGTGGTGGCCAAAGATGGAAGAAGGGGTCTGCGGGTGTGAGGACGCGCCACCCTCCATAGTCAGCGCCCCAAGACTTGTGGTCTCTGGAGACGCTGGCCAGGTTCTCAACAGTGAGTTCTGGAGAAGCTCACTGGTAGAAGTGGTAGAAGTGGAGGGAGCCCCCCACCAGGGGGCCACAGAGGGCCCCCTGGTGGGGGCCAACATCCAAATGCAGCCGAAGGGGACACAGGGACTGCTACGGGTTCACACAGGGGCCAAGGGCGAACTGCAGAAACTGGGGCCGCAAACGCGGAGAAAGCACAAACGTGGGCTGTTGTAGCAGGGGCCAACGCTCAAGTGCTTGGTCCGGGTCGGGGTGCACGTCTGAAACCCCGACCTGGGGTGTGTGCGCAAAGATGTCCCAAAGCTGGGCAGGGGGCACAGGAGGGGGCGCCAGGCAGGACCTGCGGAGCCCAACCGGCTCGGGTGGGCAGACTGCCCGTGCCATGGCCCTGTGCCAGGGCTCTGCTCAGAGGCATGTTGGCAGTAACTACCCGAGTGAATCCATAACTTTGTGCTGGTCTCTGGAGTGACCCTTGGTCTATGGGATTTCCTTGTGCAGCCTTTCCCCTGGCTCTGTCCTCAGCTGTTCTCTTGCAGGTGTCCCAGTGCTTTGAACCCCAGGGCCCGGCCAGCTGACCCCTAACACCCTCAGATCTGGGCCTGACCATACAGAGTCTCCTCATTTTGGTCCCCCTCCCCATCTGTGTAGGTTCTCTCTATCATCAGTAGAGTCTGGGGAGGGGTGGGGGCACAGCCCTCTCTGTCTCTGAGAGGCCCTGCCTGGGGCCTGACCTCTCCCCCCCTGTCCCTAGAGGCAGATGGGGAGATGGGCAGATGGAAAGAGCAGAGGGTGCTGGTGGGCTTGGTGTTCTTTTGTTGTTAGATGATTTTTTTTTTGTGTTTTGGGTCACACCTGGCAATGTACAGGTGTTACCCCTGGCTCTGCACTCAGGAATTACTCCTGGTGGTGCTTGGGGGACCGTATGGGATGCTGGGAATTGAGTCCCAGCATTCCATATGGTGCCCTGTTAAAATTCTTTACAGAGTTTTACACTAACTCCTTATCCCATGTCCAACGTGCACGTGTCTTCTCCCATTCCGTGGGCTGTCTCTGCGTTCTGTTTGTATTTTCTTTTATTGTCCGGAAGTTTTTGAGTTTCATGTTCCAGTGATTTTCTTTTACTTTCATTTCCCTTCAGGTCAGGTTCGAGTCCTCAAAGGTGTGTCTAATGCTGATGATACAGGACATTTCACTTCTGCTATATTCTATGTGCTTCATGGTTTTCTTCATCCATTCTGAATTAATTCTTGTACATGGACTTAACAGAGTGGTCCAGTTCCATTCAGCATGTGGCTGTCCAGTTTCCTCAAGGCCATATTGCTGGAGACGCGTCTCTTTCTCTTATATTCCTCGTGCTAATAGAGAGTGGAGAATAGACTAATTAGTTAGTGTGCTCCTAATTTCTCTAAAAAGCACATCATCAGGAAGACACTCACATTTTTATTCTCTGACTTGGAAAAACTTTTCATCAGTGCATCTGAAAAGTTGACTTAGATTTGGGGTAAGCTTGTATTTGGGCATATGTACTATGTATATTGTGATTTTTAAAAATCTGTGGCTAGAGGAAAATTACAGCAGGGAAAGTGCTTGCCTTGCATGCGGCCATCAAACTCCAGTCTGATTCCAGGCACTGTATATGATCCCCTGCCCTCAGCACTATCAGGAGTTACTCCTGAGAACAGAGTTAGAAATAGCCCCTGAGCACTGCTGCTGTGGTCCAACCACTCCCCCCTCACCCCCACCATTGCTAAAGAATTCTGGAGTATTCTTTACATACTCTATAGTTTTCCATTTTTTCAATGTAAGACTAAATTTTAGCATCTGAATGTCCCTCATAGTTTTAATGACCTGCATGATGCATTTCAAGCAAAAGTTATTGACCACTTGTCTTGCTTCTTTGATCTTGGTGTGTGTGTGTGTGTGTGTGTGTGTGTGTGTGTGTGTGTGTATCCATCAAATGCTATCAAAAGCTTAAAATAGTTTCTTGGACCCCACAGTTCTAGGCCCTGCCAGCTCTGCAGCTTGATCGCTCTGAACCACCCTGCCTGCAGCCAACGTCTTCCGCCTTCCCTGCATCTGTGCTGCCCTCAGAGTCCTCCCCATGAGCTCAGCCGGCATCCCCTGGACCCCCCCCCCCCCCATCTCCACACTGTGGGCTTTTGATGGGGAGGAGTGAGGGGAATCTGAGGACAGGGCTGGAGGGAAGGTAGAGCAGGGTGGAACAGTGTGGATTGTGCCAGAAACTCAAATACCTGCCAGGGGGCCCGCACCCTCTGCCCAGCAACCCCAGAGTTGTATGGCACCTCTGCTGTGCACTCTCCTTGAGTTCCCACTGCTATG